TGAGCAAACCCTCAGTGTTTGAAATCGAATGGCAGCATCTAAACATGTGTTTGAGTTCTGGTAGAAGATGCTCAGGGCTCTCGAGAGGTCATCAGTAATGAAGTATTCGCCCCAATTCAGGGGATCTTAGCATTGATTCTGCTAAGGCCCAGTTCGCCTTTCTATGGTTCCCACATATTACTTGTTGTGAAGTGGAGATATGGGCTGCATTGCTACTCAGTGGAAGTGGCAATGCACACATCCCTGTTTTGTAATGATTTTGTAATGCCTGATTATAGAACAGAAGCTGAAGCTGGTGGACGTTATTATAGGCCTATTCCTATAGGACCAGTTGTACCACAAATCATGGAGAAAGTGGCTGAAGATCAGACTTTAAACTACTTACTAAGATGTAGCCTGTAGCAGCATGGATTCCTCAAAAAAACATCATGCGCCACCTTCCGTAGAGACTTATAGAAAGAAGTCACCTATAGGAGAGGTGAAAGAGTAGTCGCTTCTTTACCTTTTGATATAATGAAGGCCTTTGAAAGACAACCACATTATCTGGTGTTCGGCAGGTTATTCTCACCTAGGATTCGCGATCCCCCTGAAGCGTATAAATTTATTTCTGTATCATCTAAATCAGACAGCAGATCTTATCTGGACCATCATGAGGTCCCAACCAATTAGTGGTGGTGTCTTCCAGGGATATGTATCAGGGATTTTCTTCTTCATAATAAGTGTCAACACTATCTGCGAAAGTTTCAGTGTAGGCAAATCATGTCCGTGTGCAGACGACTTAAAAGTAACCCATACGCACAAGGACGCAGGTCTTGGCACTGCCATGAGGAGTCGATTAAGTGGACAGGTGGTGTGACACCTGGTGACTTGTGTTTAATGTTGAAAAAGGGTGGTGATACGTTACATCCACAAAATATACAAGTTTGAACAAGCAGCACTGGTATATTAGTAAGGATGAATTGTTTCTGATGGAAGCTGTACGCATTAGCGTTACATGTTAAGCCATGAAGCCTCTCGTCTAGTTACGACTATGAAACAACACTTTCTGTCACAGCTATTCACTAGAGATGGTAAACTTAGCAATGAGTTCTAACATCACCCTTGAGAAATGTGGCTGTCTTTACACAAGTTGCCCCTGACCCCGAACTTAGCATGGTAACTCAAGTCCATACACTTCCCAGACTCAGATATGTGCTTGACCCAGAAATGAAATATTCAAATGCCCTATCATTTTCAGAATATTTCTCGTAACAAGTATCGATATCATGCAAGCTTATTGGCTTCTTACTCAAGAACGTCCGGAGAAATGCGTACAGAGTTCTCCCGTACAACTTTTGTGTCGGCCCACTCCTTGGGCAGCCTATCGACGGCCGCAATTTTGAGTGACCGCGAATGACATAAACGAGAGATTTGCTCGCTTGTGATTGGCCAGTTTGTCATTCGAGTCGCGGTAACTTCAAACATCATTTTGCTACCTGGTTATGTTCTGAATTTCCAGGAGCGTTTTATCAAATTGGAGAGATAACTGACAACACAAACTATTACAGCTCAAGAGAGAAATGATATACCAGTGGACTTATTTGCTGAATTGAACGAATTCATGCCATATCAATATGTAAGGACTTCTCAGGAGTGTCAAGAATGCAAACAATGTTCTGAAGATGTAATAGCTTCAAGCAACTTCAATTATCGCTTGACCATTATTTTCAGAGATCCTTAAATAAGTATAATATACACAGTGGTTTGGTTAATCATGATAAAAACGGCATGGTTGATGCAGCACATACGTATATGCTGCTTACTTATATGTAGGTAGACCTAGATAAACCGTGTTCTTGTCACGAAGATTAGAAAGCAGGTATCAGATGTCTTAGCAAGCAGTGTAATACATGTAAGCTACATATTTTTATTTGACGTAAACTGGATCTCCACTCACTTTCAGAATTAATCTTAAATTCAGTTGCAATAAGCTTGCTGAGCACATCAGTATTGAGAGAATAGAGTGAAAGTAAGTAAGCACATGCTTCTTAAGACAAGGTGATACATTTATTTGATATGATTGTATTATTATCAGTTGTCTATATAAGTTAATGATGAATTCGTTGCGATAATAATACCTATTACTGTATTATAGTCACTGTGAACATGAACGTTATTATTATCACTGTCAAGACCTAGTGTTTGTCATAAAGTCGTTGTCATTTTTGCTAAAATATTTGTACAAGCTTTGGAAACTACTGCATAACATGTTGTTAAATAATTTTATCATTTCATGATTCTTCGATGGACCTACTAGATATCGACCAACGATAAGTTGCGAAGTCCCTTAAGTTTAGTAAAAACTATTTGGCTACTTATATATATATTGTTTGTAAAGTGATTACATGTAAATGCTTATCAGGAAATTTCTTTTATTCAGATCATACATGTAATACCCAAGTTAATTATGCTTTTCTTAAACCTTTTCAGACTTATGGAAAAACATATATGTTCCTTATAAGCAGATGGAACTTACTGACGGTAACAGAGGACTGCCCATGTGAACATCTGTACATTTGAAATCTAATTTTTGTTTAATAAACAATTTTTTAAATTGTTGAATTGAAATTTTGATTTTCCCGTCGATTGATTGGACCGAAGTGCTCGGTCTCAGGTTGACATATCGGCTTCTTGTGCAGATGCTTCGACGATGTCTGGGTATTTAATTAGTGTAAAATTGGTGGATGGTGGCTAGCAGTGGAATCCAGGATGCGCATTTCGTCCTATTTGGGAGGTGGCTCTCGTGGCCCAAGTGGTCTAGTGGATAACGCTTTGGCGTTTGAAGCTATGGGTACTGGGTTCGAGCCTCCGTGAGAACATCGTCACTCACTGAGAAATGCAGGTACATCCAGCTGACGAGTCCCAAATAGGACGAAATGCGCATCCTGGATTCCACTGCTAGCCACCATCCACCAATTGTATACTAACTTTTCAATTAATCTGTGTTCCTTCTGTTCTAACGCGATTGTGTTCAAATAACATAAGTGACACATGCTAAGTAAGGAGTTGAGAGCAAACTGTTAGGAGTAAATGTGGCGTCTAGAAGAATTTCGCTTACGTGAGTATATGAACAGATAACAACGTATCGTATCCTGTGGCTGAGAACCCTAGGCATTCTAGTTTTAATTATTACGATAACCGTAGTTGCACTGAGTTATACATCTAACAGCATAGGTATGGTCTCTCCTTATGGTAAATTGCGACATGCAGAAATCACAAGCAAACTATGTCAGGTAGATTTATTTTCACTTTGTGACTATGAACCACGAATCAGTTTATGTGTTCTGCTAAGACGATAGGTAACTCGAAACGCCTTATAATCGTAATACCTCCTCTGAGATTTGGACACATTTACTTTATTTAACTGCAACACACTCTTTTTATAAATAGACTTCTCCGAATATCTGCTCCTACTTAGTATTTCAAAGACACCCTCATATACTCTATACCTCACAAATTACGCAAGGGCTAATATTCGGGCTTATCAAGTAGAATAAACAAACGAATAACTAGGAATACATTTATTAATGAATTAGAGTGTAATGCAAAGTGGACAACAGTGCAGGTATCTTTTTCTTTATCCCCCAAATCCATGAAATTCCCGAAAGTAGATATTATCTGAAAAGGAACATAAGTATTATACAGATGTGAACATTGTTATTAGCGTAAACACAATAATTAACCATTAAATATGTTTGAAATGACAAAATAATAAGTTGAATTAAATATAATAACGTCAGTAAACATTTTTCAATAATACAAAATCGATATTGCATCTGTCTGCAAACGTCAAGTTTATGCCACAAAATAAGAAAATACTATGCGTATAGAATTTTTAAGTATTTCTGCAGATTTTTCTTAAAGAAATACATGTGGAGGAGCCTTGTCAGCATTAGGAAAAGTACACAATAAAGTAAGTGAAATAATTACCGAAACGAGCTATCCCACCTCGTCATGTCCATGTATAACCCACTCAACTGCAAAAAAATCACAAAAAGTCGTTATAACATGTGTCTTCAAGTAATTCGACATTTTCTGAACGGATAAGTAGGTTTTTTTCAACAAACTGTAAACTGCCTGTAAGCTACGGTCGGATAAGGACACCATCATATGCTGTTTCTGCTAAATACGCCGTATTTCATCAACTTTTAGCAGGAATATAAGTAAAGAAGTGTGTAAAACAACCAAAAATTACCTAACCGTGAGGTTTTTTCAATAAATACAGCCAGCATCCATCAGCTGATCCAATGACCTGCGGCCGTCTACAGGCTGCCCACTCCTTGATAAATGTTCATTCATATTTAGCGGGATACCGGCAGTAGAAGCCAAGAGATGGCATAGAATATTCTTCGAGGTGTGAACCCCAAGACCGGACACACTGGCTAAGACGCTCCTAAACCACGTAGCTTTTACCACTTTACATATTTTTACTTGACTTTCAGATGACAATGGTATGGTGTCTCTCACACCGCAGTATGAATGAGTAAACACCTAAATTTATCCTTTACGGTGGCCTATTCTTTATTTTTCACACCTCCGACAACTCCACCTACTCATTAACTTATTTTGTCGCACCTTTCCCATTATTTTATTTATTCTTTTACTTTTAATCATTAAATTTAAATTTCTACCTGATTGTGAGATTTTCTTTGCAAGTATATGTAATTTACACTAGTAATAGGCCATTGTTACTACTTCATCTCTCTTTTCAACAACACTTGATGCCTAGGTGGGGAAAGTATCAATCCCATTCACAGCAGCGACACGCTTTTAACATGCCAGATAGTGCGAAAATCATATAACCGATTCCAGGAATGCTCCACATGGAGTCACCCAAAGCTATAGCAGTCGGGTGATGGAACAGAGTAAACAGAAGCGTACCGAAGGTTGGGAACCTTTGCCTAACAAACAAGAAGTCAGTACGATGAAATAAATTCGGTCTACATTAGCTCTTTAAATGACATTGAGGGTTGGACATTTGTTCCGGGCGTTTTAAAATCAATCAGCAATGGCAAAGTCGAGTGCTGTACCGAAATCTAATCTCCCGGAGGACGAACTGTACGAGATTGAAAAACAGGAATTTGAAACTGGACCACTTTCTGTACTTACCGATGCAGTTAAAAACAATACTCAAGTGAGTCAGCACATTCCATAGGATTACGGGACATAATTTTTAAGTTACTTGCATCTTTTTGTAAGTATAGGACTTGACTGTTCAGAAACGTTAAATCTACAGTTCCACTTGCGTGATTGTTAGAATAAGTCGAATGAAGAATGCAAACCGGGTTCGTATTGACTATTAATCACGAAGCGTTAAATAGTTGACTGATTTGCTGCGGTGTACAATGCAGTCTCTACGTGTTGTTGAGTAAACACGTAGACGTCGTGTGCCATTTAAAGCTATATGCACTGGTTGGTCACTTAAATCTGCCTGAATGGCCAGTAAAAATGGTTACTATCAAGAAACTAAAGGTAAATAAGTAGACAGTTCGAACAAAACAGCAGGAATAAAGAGCGAAATAGCGGTTTCGTTATAAAAAACGAATGATTTGTTAGGACAGAAACAGGGGATACGGTTAAAGAAGGAGCTCAAGACAATTTCCTCCAATCCAATAACCTTTCATATTCTGTCTTAACTTTAGGGTTACTTTTAACTTTTTTGACTGAATAAAATGAAGTGATGTTATAGCAGTATTAAAACCAGTGACGAGGGTTTCCAGAGACCTTAAGCAAGAGGATTATTGACCGCAACACAGTTGCCATTGATGCAAACTCGACTTTTTGGCTGCAAACCATCCATCAACCTAAGACCATGCAATATCTCGTTACATTCCGAAAGTAATGAAGTTTACTGAAAATGAGTTATTGTCTAGGTAAACTAGAAGAATAGATGATGTTTGTGGGTCCGAGATGCTTCCATCAGGTTTCTACAGTTCGTTGGTCATGTCACTTGAAGTGGGGGCAACTCTTCCTATATTGATAATAACAATAGCACAATTAGCTAACCAAGCTTAATGGGTGGTCCTAGACCCCGTGGCATTTGACAAAAACACTCAGTAAAAGCAGGCTTCAGGCCCAGTTTTGAGTGATTACTGGCCTCTATCCAGCAATTCATATTTCTTGACAGAAGGATCCGCATTTGAATAAGTTAATGGACAGGCATTACCTAGTTGAAATGATTGCTAGTGCAGTATTTTAATCCAGCCAAGAGACTCTGAACTCTTTTAGGGTAATTAGTGTTAGTGGAGTTGTAGCTTAAAGTAACAGCACCTCGTGATTATCAGGGGTGTTCAGTTCACTTTAATTTAATTTGATCGTGGATTTAAACGTGGTTGACTTTAAAATCTCTAGGAATTTGCATTCTTCACAAATTGAACCTCATACATAAATCCTGAGCTTTGTTATGTGTGTTCAGGACATTGGCAATTCCCGTTGGACTTTGTTGACGCTGTTGAAGGATGCATAAAAGGCTGTGTTCATTATTTGATACATATTGTATGATGAATTAATAACTGCCTAATCAAGCTGGGAGGTGCTGCCGAACGCGATGAGTTATATTCCCTGATAAAAGTTGTTTGTACCTAGTTACACAGAAGCAGGTGAACTTCTAAATGCACATGAAATTAGGTAGTCAAAATGACATTTCCTTAGCATTATAATGCGACAATAGACGGTTTAATTAATTCATTCGTTATTTTCTTTGATTAGCTCATTCGATAGTTTTAAGGACATCACTTACAATATTATGCCATGATTCTATATTTAAATGATACCCTTGCTTTATATCCTCTATTCTGAGTTCCTTTCATGTGCCTTATGGCCTTCAGAAACCATAGTAGAAATCCATTCTCGACAAATTTCTTCACTGAGAATTGCACCCTTAACTGATTGCATTCGTTCTGACAAGATTCATTGTCTATTTTAATCTGCATATAAATGTGATTGTATACTAGGGAAAATCGAATTGTTGGAAAGAGAAGTTTCTCTCTAAAGCGTTTAGTAATTTCTCATATTTCCTATTTTACTTCAGGTTTTCTCTCCATATCTCAATCATGGGATATAAGTAGTATAATGTGCATAGCATCTTGTGGTGAAAAACTTGTCATTTGTCAATAGCGGAAGTTTTCAGATGTGTCGAAAACCACTTTCCTATCTTCACTGAGATTTCACCAGTGATCAGATACATCGCTTTTCGAGAAACTGTAGTAATCTGATAGAAATTGGTGAGGATAAGTTTTGTATAATTTTACAGTAGATGAATAATAAGTCCCAAGTGTGTCTGAACTTCCGCTGTAGGTTTGCAGTAGATCTCGAGTGGTAGGTGCTTCAGTCAACAGGACTAGACTGTCTGCCTTTGAAACTCTGAAGTTTTAAAGAAGTAGTTTAATCACTGCTGAAGTGTGTTGGTACGCTGACCTCTGCTGATAATGGCTATTGCATATTTCAGAGCCGATATTGTGTAGCATGCTTTCATCACTTGGATTGGCGTTTTTAACACAGTTGTAAGTGTTCACCAGAATGTTTTCAATTTTTGTGAGTGTGAGTACTTGTTAGGTGCAGACACGGGTGTATAAAAGCATCATAAATGTGGTGTCGTGTATCTCACTCACATAGACGTCTAATTTTCTCATTTTTGCATAGTATATGTATATATGTCTACTGCAGTAAAAGATTTTGGTTTTATTTCACATTATAGAATATGAAAAATAGTTGATTTCAATTATTATTCATTCTTTCGTATAGGTGCTGATCAACTGCAGGAATAATAAAAAGCTTTTAGCACGGGTGAAAGCATTTGACCGACATTGCAATATGGTGTTGGAAAATGTTAAAGAGATGTGGACTGAAGTGCCTCGACCGGGTAAAGGTTTGAAAAAGTCTAAACCGGTGAACAAAGAAAGATTCATCAGTAAATTGTTTCTACGTGGTGATTCTGTTATTCTGGTGCTTCGAAATCCACTGGCGACTGCTGCAGCAGCTGCCCCCAGATCATGAAACCTTTTTTCCCCGTTCGTTTTCTATTTCTTTATCAAAATATCGGTTTTGTGAATAAATATGTAACTACCTATATGAAAAGTACTTTCATGAATTCCACTGACTTTCGGAATCGACTGAATTGGGTAACTGTTGATAATGAGTAGACGCTTAAGGTTTTGCTAATTGCGTCATAAAACACAAAATAATTGAGCAATGAATATCCTTTAAGATAATTTCCTCTACTGGCTCTACAATTATATATGTTTACACACATAGAATATTCTAGATTAGTAGTCAGTGACAATATTAGTGTTTTTTAAATGATATCGATTTGTAAAGTAAGATCACGATGGAATTACAGTTCATTAAAGATGCTTAAATAATAATAATGAAGACAGTAGCAATTAGAATATCAGCTAAAATGTATTATTATCGGGAAGGGAAGAAAGAAGGAAATTGCAACACGTGTAATAGCACGCGATAAGTTCCATTGATTGTTTGTTGCTTCATTCAATTCATTGTGTGAGGGCTGGAATACTTCCCGGGTGCCCAGACCGAAGCAGGTGGTTTTATTAAGGGATTAACCCCCGAGCCTTTGACTTGGAGTCTAATCCGCAAAGCAGCGTCAGCAGCTGCATTCCCATGGCTGACGGTGACCCAATGGGTTCATACGCCATTTGATCCGATTGAATACTGGAGCCAATATACTCCACGGTAACTGCTTTTAGTTTGACCGCTATCCAACAACCTTCCTGACATGGTAGGACCTGCAGGGACAGAGTCCCAGTCAGTTTAGCATGTTGGGTGATTACGGTATTCAAGCCCGACCACCACGACAAGGTAACAGTTATCGACCGGGATCAACCAAAATTAGGAAATTTCTACAAAATGTGGAGGACCATTCAGACCTAGATAGCCAGGGTAAGGATGGTGTCTGAACTTACTTCTTCTGTACGCAAAAATTAGGCTTCTTAATATGGATCCCAACAGCCTCAGCAATACTTAGTAATCGAACTCTTGAGGCGAAATTGAGATTTGTCGGTATGTGTTAAGTGACTTTGAAAGCCTCCTCGTTAACATCAATCTTGTGTTCTGTATTCACAAGGTGAGATAGATTAGCGCTACGAGTGGACTTTGTTAGTCCTCTACTTAACCACGCAGGATGATGTTTGGTATTCCGACGAGGAACACGCCTAATATAACAGGCTCCACAGGAGTAGTTAAATTGGTACATACACATGGAAGAGGCGTAGTTTATCTTTCACTCCGAAAGCAAAAGAGGAGTGGTTTTGAAGACACAGCGTAATTCAGCAGCAGGGAATGCTCATTTTACCGCATTTTTAAGGCGTTGTGCTAGTATCTCGCTGATGTTGTACCCGAGGAACTGAATTTGTAAGAATAAGGCCTTTTTAGGAACTGTTGGTACCTTGGGCTGCTTTGATTTTAGATTCGTATACTTAACAATAAACTTTTCTCGATAACCGTTTTCACTTAGAAATCGTTTAATATTATTAAGTTCTTCATCAAAACATTCGTCCGAGCAAATCTGTCTTGCTCTCTGAACCAAGCATTTTATCAGATTGCGTTTATATTTCAAGGGCACTAAGCTGAGAAAATGTGTGTACTGACCCGTTGATGTAGGTTTTCTACATACACTTGTTCTTATTGTGCCATCTTTTCTCGTCATTAGGATGTCTAGGAGTGAAATACTAGAGTCATAGTTCTCTGATAGTATAAGGCGTAGAGTACTTAGTGAGGACTACTTAGGTAGTTTGTATATTGCTAGCATATTCACTGCTAAAGAGGATTTTACTGGGCAGTACACATACATCTCGTTAGGATTGTCTCAAGAAGGGGTAACACGATTGTTGACCTTCGATAAATTCAGTAATTCTCCAGTAACAGATATATGGTAAAGAAATGATGGATAACGGGAAAGCCTGAAGTCAACTATATTCTCGCGAGTTTCCAGAATCACTTCAGCATGAAATAAATTTTTTACCACTAGGGACCCTGATGCTTCACTGATCGTCAAGTACATTGCGTCTATTCACAGTGATATAGGCTCATTCCAGATATCCTGGTCGGCTAGGTTTTCTATAGTACCTCACTTAACTTCATCACCTGCAGTTTTTTGTTTCACGCCTACACTCCTTTTGATGAGGGGATATTAGCCAGCTATGAAACACTCATCGTACTTCAGAGCAACAACAAAACTGTCCTATACATTCTGTTGATCCGTGTTCCAATTCGTTTTGTAAGTTGCCGGTATGCATATGTTGTTCTGCACTACATTACGTTCCATTTGCATTGGGTTTCTCTCTTTTGATTCCTAGAGCGAATCACACTTTCCTATAGTGTTGACGTGCTACGTGTTGAGGAGTAGCTTTTGACAGCTCAATAAATTACCACATTTTCATGCATGTCTTTTCCGGATACAAATGAAAGTTGTGTAGATAGAAAGGAGCTCAGACAGGTGATAGTATGTGTAATGTGAATGCATTGAATGAGACAAATAAACTAATTTGTGAACTTAAAAGTGAATCCAACGGATAGGATTAAGCCTTGAGGCATGAACAGTGGTTAGCAAAGGATTGTACATTATGTAGTAACATTTAGGAATGATAAAATAAATAGGGATTTGGCAAATAGAGTAGACTAACTTGTCAATTGACGGAGTTTTCAACACGGAACTTCACACGTGAAGTTTCCATACTCCATTTAGCACAAATTGTAATGGCGTGAGATCTCCCTGAAGACAAGTAAGTATATGCAGAATGATGGGAATTCGATGGATCTGAGGCCATAAGTAGTGAATGCACTCAAGCTATATGACCAACATTCTCCAGCCATTGTATATAGACATTTCGAAAACCTCAGTCACACAGTCTACACCTTCATAAGTGGCTGAAAGCATCAGTTCAGCCTTGCAGGTGTGTTTGGATTTGACGACATCTAACAATCCTCCAAGGTAATCTTGTATCAAGTAGTATTGCTCAACAAGAAAGGCGATTGGTTGGTGTGTGTGTGTGGCACGTCTCCTAACTCGATGCAACTGCTTAACCTCATCGACTGATTCGTGGTGTATACTTTCTTGCCAATCTCCTTACGAACAGACAGTGCCTTTCGGTCAACGGGATCAAATGGCGTCTTCAGGTGAAGGAATGTGACGTGTTAGACGCCAGTAAGTATTCTGTTCTGGAAGTGATGCAGGATAGTGGATATTTATTGTGTCAACTTATTTTATCATTCTTAAGTGAGGTCGACTGTTTTTTGCCATTATGACTATTATCATCATCATATATATTAGTTGATTTGCTTGTGGGATATGTATTCTCCCGCTTATTGTGCGTTCTCTGTATATCCGAGATCACTGTGGCCTCTCAATTTCGTGTGACTTATTATCAAGCCACTAATCTAAGTCGATGCAGGTATTCTAGACTCATCGAGGGCGGATAAAACTAAAGAACAAATGAAAATTGATGAGCTGCTTACTCACTCAAGAATTTTTAGTGTCGAATCATCCCAGTCTACTCCGGTTATAATACCTGTTTCTTTGGATGGAATAGCTAATAGTATTACTGACTTCCGCTAATATCTTGATACCACTGTTAAGTTTGATATTTGGTTCAGTTGATATCAAGACAGTTTCAAAGTAGATTTCTGTGGCCAAGATGATTTCTGGATAGGGTGTCTCCTAGGTGAAAATTGAATCCATCTGGATTTTTACCGATGTTATAACTTAATTCTGCAACAGTCTCCACGCGATCACACCTTTGACGCCACATTGCAGAGATGGAGACAACAATTTAGTAGACAGAAGACCAGTAGTTCAGCGAAGAGTCTCTTTTCACTGGCGAATTCATTTTCATAGCTGTACAATCGCAGACATATGTATATAGTTGTTTTGTATGTGTGTGTGTGTGTGTACATTAAATTTGACAAACGAAAATACAATTAGTAAGTTCAGATGAGTTGGATGTTGATGTAAGAGAGTATTAACAAAAGTGATGAGTTGTCACAAGCGATTGTTAAAGAAGATTTAGAAAACAGAAAGATTGAACAGTGAAGAAATATTTACTTTTCAATTAGATCCTCATCTCTGGCTCTACTCTAATATACACGTACAGCATTTTCATTACAATACACAACAGTTTGCCAATCAAGCAGCACTGATATGTTTGTTAACAATAATTAGTCAGTGTCAACATGTCAATGGGTTGATAATTAACGAAGAAAATCAATACACACACTTAAAAGGTAGAAATGGTTACAACAAGTGGATTGTATAATGCCATAATTTTTGAAAATTGAAGAGTAAATAAGCAATAAACGTGTACTTAGGTTAATCACGTAACAGATTGTTAAAGAAAATAAAACGATTTGGACAATGATAACTAAGGCTGAAGTGGTCATAAGAATAAAATACAAGGATAACATGTAATTAAAGATGAAATAGTCAGAAAAAATAATAAAATAATTTGGACAATCATAATTTCTATAATTTTTGAAGGTTTTTAGGGGGAGGGGCAGGGTGAAGTAGTCCTGTTTATACAATCATGTAACGATGGCCAATGTAAGGAAAGTGTCTGTACAAATTTCTTCTGAACACACAGGTTTGGCTTCTTCTTCAGGTGGATTCCTATTGCTTCAGCTGTATGTAGAAGACGAACTTGTAAAGCAAAATTAAGATTAGTTGGAACGCGATAAATATAATTTTAAATGCAGTATTCACATCAACCTTATGATCAGTACCAACAAGGTGGGCAAACATAGGACTGAGAATAGATGTTTTTTGTCCCTTGCTTAACCACGTTGGATGATGTTCGGAAATACGACGATGAACTTGCCTAATTGTGCGCCCACTGTAGCTGGTCTCTATTCTACGTTCGAGGAATATGGATAAACTGTCTAAGTTTTCCTCCTCAGTGTGTATTTGCCAGTCTGACTGCAGCTGCGGAGCCAGCTATATCGGACGTACAACTAGACAGGTTCATCATCGTATTTCCGAACATCATCTAACGTGGTTAAGCAAGGGACAAACAAGATCTATTCGTAGCTCTATTTTACCCCCACCTTGTAGATACTGAGCATAAGG